TAGTGAAAGATTTAACATGTAATATTAGATGCCTTGAACATCAAGCTACAATTTCCAACGTTTGTTTGCATACTAAATAGTATCAAATGTGAAATATAACCAAAAATATCTTAATAGTGATACGCATTCGGCAACTATCCCCAATGTTTTTATGACTAAGAGGCCCGTAAAAATTCTGCAAATTGTATCTGAAATTAACTGAAGCGAGTAGTTACTATCCGTTTGGCTTCTCGCGAACTCTTTTCGATCGCTTGTAACTCGAGAAACATTGAGATTAAATCGCGCATTTAATTAGCTAAAGGATCCGCTGTTAAAAGGATGAAGACCCAAGATTCAGTGGTTTCGGAGTATATTAGAGAAAGAAGCAGACGAAGTCGAAAAAAGGTGGAAAATTGTGGGAGGATTTAGGTACCTTTAGCTTTTCCGATGCCGCCGCGAATTCTCTCGCAGTTAAAGCCAATGGTCGGCACGGTATTGAGATACTGATCGAATTTGAGTCTGTACAGAGCGGTCGTCTTCCCGGCGCTGTCGAGACCGAGCATCGCCACGTGGAGCGGAGTTCCCGTGGGAAGTGCCTCGAGCAGACCGCCGCTCGTGCCGCTCCTGCCCATCCCAGCGCCCATCCCTCTCTCTTTCTCTCTTTCCTCCCCTATCTCTCGTCCTCGCTTCTTCTTCCTGCTAACAACTCTCTTTCTCTCTATTTCGCTCTGATCCGGCCTAGCATTTAGAGTCCCTTCTTCCCCTCTGCGCTTCACGCAAAATATCTTCTCGTCTCCAAATTCAGCCTTGGATGCCCGTAAAAGGACTCCGTCACTGCGAAGCTGTCCACTACCGCATCGTCTGAAAAGCAAGCGCGTTCCACGGTTAACGGCTCTCAACCGGTTCTGCGCGAAATACAGGTGCGCGACCTAAAGTATCTCGTCTAATAAGTAGGACTCCGATTTCGATCGAGGTCAATGTCACTTTCAGTATTGACCAAACTACGATGAATTCCGCTTTTCTTTCTTACTATCACTTAATTTAGGCTCTAAAACATCCAATCTGTATATATATCCGGATGTGTGTGCGTGCGTGTATGTGTGGATCATGGAAATCTCTTTCGAGAAAAACTTTCACCCTCCTTTTGTTAGACTTTCCAGCGTTGGTCGCGAATAACCGGTAATTCGCTTATTAGCGTATCTACCGCGCGGATCAAGCCCATTATTTATATCGTCTAGGTTAGAGGCAAATCCCTGAACAATGTATCATTGTCTCGCGTAAAGTGGGCTGCGTAGCCAGTGGAGGGAATAGAGTAGATCCTTTTCGGGACCGGTTCCTCCGACGAGGTTCAACGAATTCGAATAATCCGGTTTGCTTGTTCTGTGGACCGTTTCTAGGTAACATCTTCCGTCTTTATTGGTAACCGAGCGAACTTTCTCTAATGCCTCCCATCTTCCTCCTTTTCGCATACGCGCATTTCCTCGTAGAGATCTAACGATTGCAACAGTTATACGCATCTTGCGTCGCTATATATCGGCATTCCTCCTTCCACGCGTATGTATGGCGAATACAATTTCATCGCAAAGAACGTAACAAAAAATGTTTTTATTATTAATTTTAAACAAAAATTTATAAAATTTATAACTTAATGTGGTAAAAATAATACATATTATATTTTATTTTGTATATATATATATATGTGTGTATACAGGGTGAGTCATTTTTAGTAACGCATTAAAATATCTCGAGAATAAGACATGGAATTGAAAAATACTTACTTCAGACAAAAATTGTATGACTTCAAGAGGGACATAAAATGATAGCATTGGTTTGACCTTGGATAGTGTTGTTAAAGCCAGGGAAAGATCACTTTAATTTTTTTAAATGGAATCCACTATTTTTATTGCATATTCTTATAGCTTATCTCGAGAGCTTTCCAAAACACTATAATAAAATATTTTTCCATTAAGCACTTTTCGAATTATAAGGCTTGAAAGTTATAGTATCACTGGCATTAGCATTATCCAAGGTGTCTGAATAGCTAAAATCTTTTGAATGTTGTTCAAGATTATAACCTTGACAACATATATCACTATTATATTCCTCTCTATTCGAAAAAAAATCAAGAGTTTTATTTCTACTTTATATGTAGCATAAACAATTTATATTGCGAATTTATATTACTAGTGTTATACTTAAATAAGCGAAATAACGCTAGATGCTGGGTATGTCAAACTTTTTATGTTTAAGTCCAAAAATTTTCGGATTTTAATATATAATTTTTTATATTTCGTAATAGTATTTCGTATTTATAATAATATTTTTTATTAAAATTGAACTAATTTTTTTAATCGTACTTTATTTGACCTTAATAATTCATTACATTCATCAGAGATATGATTTCTTAAACGTACTGCTTTATAGGTATATGTTCAACTGGACGCGTGTATATAAAAGGATTAAGAAATATTACATTTTGCTATGACACATCGGGTGTTCTTTTACATTATTTAACAATTGTTGCGATTTATATCTGCCTCACAACACGATGATCGTTCATGTGCACGTGCAAAAGTAGGTAAATCAAATTGAATCTTGAATCCATTGAGCGAAAGGAAGGATCGTCCGGAGAAATCTGAAGTTTTGGGTCACCGTCACACCAAAATGTGGATCAAAATTTAGTGAAAAACATATGCATAACATAGATCCAATGGAATACTCTTTAAAAGCTATATCACTGCTATATCACCAGCTTACACGTTTAAGTAGCGCAAAGAGTTTACAAAACTTTTAGGAACTTGCCCCACATTATTAACGTTGTTTCAAAGTCTTTGACTCGGATGTAAATTGTAAACTGTAACTCTATTGTGTTTAGTGAAGCGAAATGTATCCAAAGTGCGGTGGTTAATTTAATATCGGGCGTACCATCGCTACAGATGTGCCGCACGAAGTTTGTCCAAATATATTCTCTCCTGAGCAATTTAGATACAATTGTTTTCTTATTTCACAATTGGTGTAGATGATTTATCTCACGATTGAGGTAAATAAACTCAACAACATATGTAGGTCTTCTTATACAAAATTCCTATGTAGAATGTTTCATAATAATCGGACATTTTCAATAAATACACTGGTCGATTTACAATCGATTTTTTTTACTTGATCGTCAAGTCTTCATCATGAAAGTTATCATTTAATATAACTTTTGCTAATGAAAGTTATCATTTAATATAACTTTTCAATTTTTTACATTATATTTTTAATTACGCCTTAAATCAGAATTCTCTTAAGAAGTTATAAAAAAAGTACAATAAACCGAAAAACAGGATATGTCATAACAGGATATTTCAACACCATAATAAATAAAAAAATCTATGTGTCTCAGTAAACAAAAGCTATTAAATTATTAAAGAAATATTAAACTAACACTTCTATGTTTGATTCTGTTTAAGAGAAACATATTTAATTTAATTTTCAAAAATTTTCGGGAGCACTAAATACAAAAATGGGATTAAAACATAAAATTTAAAAATGGCAAATGCAATAAATAAGATATTTTCAAAGTTCAATAGAAATGTATTTAATATCACTAATAATGTCAAAAATAATGCCAAAACATAACGGATTCAAAATGCAAAAAAAAAATAGAAAAAATGAAATTTCTTCAAACTCCAATGAAAGATATTTATATTTGCAGAATCATAAAGAAATATAAATTTAATTCATAAAATAAATAATATACCAAAATATATAAAATCTTTATTTAAAGAGCTAGAGGAATAGTTTTTTCTTTAAAAAATATGTTTTTAATAATAAAATTAATGTATAAAATTATAACAAAAGTACTAAAATAACAAACATAATGACGTCTTAAATAATTATCGCAATCTGTATCCGCCTGTATGGTGACCAAGATTATAGCTTCGGCAAATTATCTGAAATAAAGAAGTAGACATTCATTTATTTTATTTCCGGTTTACAAAAAAAGTTTTTAGAAACTTTTAACATTTTCATGAAATTAAATATATCTAAACATAAAAATTGCATTTTTTAAGTTCATTTTTTTCTTTGTTATAATTTAAAAAAAATTAAAAGCAGAGAAAACCTTTATAAACCAATATAGAATAAAATTTAAAATGTTACTTAAAAACTTCAAATATTGATCGGATAAACTGTATTTGAGTTATCATAATCACCATTTTCAAAAATAATAATTATCGAAAAACGCATTTAAAGTCGATAATACACCATCAAAGCAACACCATCACCGACATCGATACATTAGTGATTCCCAATGCAGGCATCCCAAAGTCGGAATATATATTTTGTGATTTAACTGTGATTTATTGTGATAATTTTTTATGATTTACTTACAACTATTAATCTATAATTCCATTTTTATAGTTTCATCTGAGAAACAAAAAAAATGTTCATTCTTTGAAATTTTTGAAATCCTATAACCCTTTAAAACAAATATTATCTGAAGTTAATTGAGGAATGTAGCTTTAATTTTATCCACTCGATTTCGGATATATCTACTCGGTTATAATTTAAAACTCATCGATCCTACTTCAATATTTTGTTAAAAAAAAAAGATAGAGTCTGTGTCCGCCAAAGAATGTGTCATTAAATGAATATTCGGTGATTTTGAATCAACCTGTATAGATTTAATTTATTATTCCATATTTATTACATAAATTGGACTTGTAACTGAAAACTGAAATCACCGCTAAATAGTAGGGCGACGATATTACGAGCGCGAGAAAGAGGAGAAACGCGAAATTTTCCGTTTCCGACGACTTTGGGATGCCTGCATCGAGAATCACCGATGCGGAGCAATGTCGGTGTTAGTGCTGGCTGCTTCGATGGTGCATTATCGACTTGCGAAGACGCGCGTGCGCCACGTTGTGCCGCGCCACCGTTTTATGTCTCTGTATTCTCGTTGTGTATGTGCATGTTTACTCATATATATTTATGTATTCACGATTTGTTTCAATGTATATCTCTGTCCTCCAATATTCATTTTAAAAGTCGCACAACCGAAATAATCTTGATCAGCCGTAATTCGCGAATAAAAAATTAGCCCAAAAATCAGTTTCACAAAACTGTCTTCTTTTACTTTAATCTTTTAAAACATATATTTTTGCTTTCCTTGAAACTTGATACAAAAAGGTTTTTGAAATTGTTAACTATAAATAGAGATTAGATTTAGAAAATTTGAAAAATTTTAAATGACAAACGGATTATGACAAACTCAAAGTGCAATGACACGAAAGTAACGATCTACGATTTTAAATTTGATAATTTTTGGCTTTGGATTCGAAATCAATGGATCCCAAAAATGTACAAATACCAAATCTTTTAATCCTTTCAAGAGTCCATTTTTTGCAATGACAGTCCCGCTATATTAAATTCGCTATTTTTAATTTTTACATATTTTCACTTTATATTCGAAATTAGCGATTCAAAAAAATCTCAAGTACCAAATTTGATGTAAATTTAACTATTTTTTTGTAATTTCGATCTGTCATCTTGTGTTTTGAAAATTTATACTTTTAACTTTATACTCAAAATTAACAACTCCCAAAATCCTCAGATATCAAGCTTTAATATATCATTCAAAATAGGCGAAATTTCTTACTATATATTTTATAAAAAAACATTTTTTAGATTTTGAGTCGTCATATTAAGTTTAACATTGTGAATTTTGAAATTTTTACTTTAAATTCGGAATCAGCGATTCAAAATATTAAGTATAAAATTGCACGAAAATAAAAGAAATATATTTTCTTTAATTTTCAAAAGGTGTAAAATATTGATACACCGTGCTTCAAAGGATTAAATAATATAAGATTTTGAAGAGTAATACATACAGGTCAGAGCTTTTGTATGCTATGCTATGAATAAATACGCTACAGTTAAAGATATTAGAAGTCTTTATGTTAATAACGCATATGAATATTAATAAGTTTTGACGATGATCGGGTGATCAACCCGCTGCGCAGAAGTATTTTAATCGGTTTATTGACAAGAGAGAAGATACTGAATGATAGCCGAGATTATTTCGATAACAGAAAATTATATGGAGCATTTCATGTTTGGATTCACTCCACGAGATACTCTCGTCTACTCACGTTTCTACCATGAAATAACTCCCGTTTGTTCTTTACTTATTTGTGTCATATTTATGTTATAACGTGCGCCAAAAGCCTCAGTTCTTTCTGTAATCTACGAACGCCTAGATACAATATCTCGAAATATGGTCTAGACGCTGAAGATGTTTTACGATCACACGCCCACATTCCATTTTTAATGCCGGACCAACATTTCTAGCAACCACAAAAAATAATTTTTTATTCAATATAAAATAATCGATTACTTCATTTTTGTCGCTTGATTTGTTGTTGTACAAAGGCTTTTAAATAAATGTAAAAATTTTTTATAGGCCTTCGCGAAAACGTATTATTTTTAAATGGAAGAATACATCAACCAATCTCCTGACAGAGGTTTATTCGCAACAGGCATGATCGAATATTTCTGAAACTAATCCGGACATAAGCGTCTAAAGATAAGCGGCATTAAGGCGCGTCCTCGCGATCAAATTACGATAATCGTACCAATCATACCAAGCGTATGTCGAGCGTCTTACAATTAGTTTAGCTGGAGCGTTATTGGAGTTACTCCGATCGAACTCCAATTAGCTTAATCAGTGATTACTTCGACCGGCAGAACTGCTTACAACAAGATTTCCAATTACATAATTGTGGCTTTCTAATCTAATCTTTCTTGCATGTATTTAAAATAAATAAATCATTTTATTTATGTTAACAAAATAATGCAAATATCGCTTGATAAGTAAATCACATGTTAGGATTAAAATGTCCTTAAAATGTGTCCTACTTTAATAATAAATTATCAGATCATGTCGTCTAATTCGATGATTTAGCATATTACAATCATTCTTATAATATAAATAATAACAAATATTATAAATAAAAAAATATTGAACATCTCTCTGAGTGACTTTTCCCAATTTATCAACCAAATTTATTTTCTTCTTATATAATTTCTTAAGATTCTTAAGATTTATAAAGCAGGATAAACATAATCGAGAATCCTCTTTATTTTAATTAATCATATGCTTTTATTTATATAAAATCATGATAAATGATCTTTAAAATGTTACATAAATTGCATTTAATTTATAAAATTTAATCCAATAAAGAAAGATAAATGTGTGTACGTATGTCCAACGCAATTACATTTAATTTTGAATAACATTTTAAATTATCTGCGTACATACAATCTTGGTCAAAAGTACTAGACGACTTATTAATTATTATTAAATGCTCAACATTTGATGCAATTTATAGTGTAAATTATCCTTTGTCTCAAAAATGCTTTAAACTTATGCTTAATGTTGATAACCGATAATTTATAATGTAATAGAAAACAGTATACAAGTAAAAGCATTCCAGAAATGAAAAATATAAAGGTGCTTAATACTTTTCAAAGTGTTGTGTTTATATATAAATTTATTTCTGTTTTTTTTTTTAAGACAAAAGATAGGAAATTAATAAGAGCTAGAATTAATAAGCTAGAATATATCTTTATTGTACCCCTAAAAATTGCTAGAGAAAAATATACTTCGATAAGAATTAATGCAAACTGAATTAAATTAAAATTTATCGCTCTCCAAAAGATTATAATTTAGAAGAGGTGCACCACACAGATTAAAATGAATTGTTTTGTATATTACATTAACATTCTTGTATATCATGTTTTTTATTACCATGTTCATATGGAAAACGTAACCGTTTGAAATTTAAATTCCCAACTTACTACAGTTTGTGTGTGTCTGTGTGTATGTGTGTGTGTGGTGCGCACGCGCGTGCGCGTCAAAATATATTTTCTGAGCAGCTTTAATAATTTGATCAAGAAATGCATATTCCAACTTTTATCTAATCTCTTGTATAATTATTTTAAAAAGATAAATTTAAATGTAAAAGTCTAAATATATAAACAGAAATAGCTAAAGTCTCTTAATTTAATCGTGAATAAATTACCTATATAAATAGAATAGTTTTCACTTTATTGATCTAACATTTCACATGTGATCTTTATGCAGATATGCCTGATTATGGAAAATTAATTACTTCTACATGAAAAACTTCTGCGTGCTTTTTTTCTCAACATGGAGAAAAGATTAAAGAGAATTATTTATAAAAGTATCATAAATCATGGAATCGATTAATATTAGACAAAAAGAATGATATTAAAAATTATAAATTATCAACTCTATTATAATGATAATATTAAATATTATAATGTAAAGGATTCAAATACAATACGCTCTATGATACAGCACTATAAAGAATTAGAACTGGAATGTGTTACGTATTTAGTGTTATAAAGTTAGGTTTACAATAAATTTAAATAATTATATAACATTAAGTATATAAAGATATATAATATAAAGTTGCATAATAAATATAACTTTATAATTTTTATTTTGCATTTATATTTTAAAATTGCTTCATTCAAGAAGAAAAAATTAGCAAATCAGTAGTTTCTAACAAAATATCAATTTAATTTTATTAAGAAAAAAAGATTTTTCATGTTTCAGAAAGTTTAGATTAATAAACAATATGTCGTGCAATCCTATATGCAATCTTGACCATAAGTATAAAGCATTCTCAATTTAGTTTGTCTATGAGCTATGAGATATGTCGTTGATACGATCAGAAGCATCAAACGATATTAAAAATGACATCAATTTAAACAGATCAGTGAAGAGTTCTTTCACCGAATTAAGATAATATAAATTAAGATAAAAAGAAGTAGTAATGACTACTGCTAACTTTAAATAAAACTTGTTAAATATTTTCAATCATATAAACATACCGCAATAAACGATTTCTGTTTAATTGTTTTCAAAGCTATATACAGGCTAAAATAAAAAAAACAATTTATATTCTATCTTCATACATACTAAATTTCCTGATTGTATAAAAACTAAAATGATTTTTTCGACCAGAAATACATATCCTTTATTTCTCTCTATTTACAAAAAATATAAAAAATTATAAAGTACAAGTGTAAGTATACTTGTCATTCCTATTATAATTACGTCAAAAAAATGATATAATAATCAGAAAAATTTTCTATTTTCCAATAAATTCGTCTCAAGTATCGTACGAGAATCATGATGAAGCCTTGCTTTGCATCTTGACTAAATGATTGGAAATTTAATGCAATTTTACGGACAAAACTGCTTCTATGGATAGCGTCACATAAACCCAAAAATTTCGGGGCGCGTCGCGGCGCTGGTTACATCGCTACTTCGGGGATCATCGACACCGCATCACACTTACCATGTTAGATCCAGATGTATAATCCGTGTCCGTGGGCATATCAAAATCCACGGATTGGTAAAAAAGCACTGACCCACTTACTTCCTGCATGCACACGCCAGAGAGGAGAAAACTTATACTAGGCCGAACCATTCACGAGAAACTGCTACACGATAACGGAACTACCAAACACACCTACCCGAGCAGTTTGAGACGAACTGAGCTGACACAGCGAACCGACCATAGTATAAAGATACTATGGAACCGACCAACAACTCACGCGAATTAGAGTCCTAGATTATCAGAGAAGCGCGACCGGCTTATGGCAGTATCGCAAAAGTACTAGAAAATATTAAAAATGGCGTCGAATGGCCAATCATAAGTTTGATA